TGCATGGCTGAGGCCGTCATCACTTTCTAGCTTGATCGGTCAGCAGTTGCTATAGTGTTTGCTTCTTAGCTCTTCTTTCTTTTTTCTTCTCATCTGTGCCTCTGAGATAAAATAAGACTCACACAATCCACATTTGTACTTTTTGGGCTAATGGAATTTTTGGTTAATTGAGCCGTTGCCGTGTCTTGAAGAAGGAGTAGGAAGTATAGCATCATATTGCAGGCAACACAGAGTTTTTGTTTTGCCCAATGCACCCGTCTCCAAAGAGATGTACCTCTTTGATCCCAGATGAATCTACCTCATTCAGATATTTATGAATGAAGGATGCTATTTCGGATGACCCTCTTCCTGAAATGCCTTCATGAGATACACCCCATCTTTGTTGTCGAGGTTGAATACTGTTAGATTGTAGTTAGCAAGGCACCTCCTGTAGAAAACCTCTGAACGGTTGGCTTTGGGTAAGTGCAGTACTTGTTGTAGGTCGAAAACCGCTGCACACACATCTTATTTTAGAGTGGCTTGATCTTTTGCTGCAGCTTTGAGCTCTCGAACAGTATTCTTCTCTAGCACATGTGTACTGTAGTTGCTTCTTAGCTCTTCTTTTTTTCTAGCTCATCTGTGCCTCTGAGATAAGACTCACACAATCCACATTTGTCTTTTTGGGGCTTATGGAATTTTAGGTTGAGCCGTTGAAGTGTCTTGGAGTAGAAGGAGTAGGAGTACCCATTTGGATAGGCTTCTTTGTACTTGTACATAATTGACTTGTTGAGGTCTCCAGGTAGATACTCACACGTACTGTTAGCCCGACAGTACTCAACGCGATGAAATCGGTTGATATGGGTTTCTACCTCTTTCTTCAGTTGTGCATGATGATGACATATCATTTTGTCTAAAATTATTTTGAACACATCCATTCTGTTATTAAGAATTGAGGCAAATAACAATATCCGTTGGGGAAAATCCAACCACATGGTCTTCTTGAAGGAGAGAGAAGAGAGGAGGAAGAAAATTTGCACAAGTTTGAAAGAGACATCTCTTCTACATAAATAGGTTAAGTATAGCAGTGTTATTTTATTGCTGAACAATGGCAAAATACCCATTCTGTCCTATAAAGTATCCTACAAGCATATCTCACATCGGCAATTTGGGGATGTTCATTAGTTCATCGAACACACCAGTCGTAACGAAATCATGCATATTCAACCAACGATCCTAAAAAAGAATTCTTCCTGTATGTAGGAACTGTAAAAGGCATTGATCCGCGTAACAACCCGTGTTCATTTTTAATAATACAACTTTTGAAAGTAAAATACAACTTTTGGGATTAAAGAATACAGTTTTTCAACTCCAGACGTTGGCAGGTCTGTAATCCTCATTTTCAGAGAGGACCTCAAGCCGTCGGTCCTCTCGTTGCTTACTAACAAGCATTTATGCTTTCTTAGCAGTCAGGTAAAATAACCATCATTAGTCTCACATATATGCTATTATATCTATTAATGATTCTCTCCACTGTTTCAATTATTTTGTTGGTCAAAATACCCATGTCTTATGTTATCTTTGTACTGATGGGTGACCATGTTACTGAAAATGAAAATGGTTTTTAATTATAGGATCAGGATAATTGTTGAACTCTGCTAAATCATTTAAAATAATTATCATTTGCTCTAATACAAGTATACAAATGCTTTTTTAGCAATCAGGTAAAATGAACCATCAACAATATGCCAGTATCACTAGGTGTTGAAATGTATTTTCCTGTGTAAAAACAAACAAATTGCTTATTCTTACTCTAACAACAGTTTGTGAAAACTTGAATTTTATTTACTTATCTTTACGCTCACTGGAAATTCTTCAGGGGGTTGTATAGAATATGAACAGCCTTCATAAATGCATTGTGTTGTGATCTTGGAGCCATTTGCTTGATTACTGTTTATCATGATGAATAGTGGTTTATGTTGTGAATGCGCATACCAAACAATATTTGGTTAATACATAACCTTCAGATGTGCATGTAGCACATCCAATGAGTATATCATCAAAAGGAAAAAAAAACACTATGTATTTTTGTGCAATGTGTGTTGGTAGTGTATTTTTAACATGAATCGTGTTACGTGTATTTTTTTTAACCAATGCAGTCAAATGTATCTGAAATATGTTAAAATGTGAGCACGATAATTGATATAGATTTGTTAAGTTGAAGTTAATGTTTACATTAAGGTTGCAGTTATCATTATGACAAAAATAAACTTAATCCACCTGTGTTAGAATCCAGGTCAAGCAGTATGATATTTGATATTCCAGCATGATTTGCCTGATATAAGCTATGATTCATCCATCTCTTTTCAGTTAGGAGTACAACAAATTTAGATGAAATGAATCTGATTGACTTATAACTTATTTAATCCTAATTTCCTTGATATTGGGATTTATTGTAGGTATGCAAGCATTAACAAGTTTACTGCTTCACAAAGACACGTTTAAATAGAATACCAACTTCAGATTAATTATTGTACTTGTTTGTATAATGAATATTCAATGAATTTGATATATAATAATGTAAATCATTGTTGTAAAATCATTGCATTTTATTTAATAGCTAAACATGTTACTTTGTGATTGTGTTACTGTTATTGTAATATATGCAAGCATTTAAAAGTGTACTGCTTCACGGAGACATTTAAATACGATGCCAATTTCAGATTACTTATAGTACTTGTTTAAATGATGAATATTCAATGAATTTGATATCTAATGATGTGAATGTAAAGATTATCATTGTTGTACAATAATTGCATTTTCATTTAATAGCTAAAAATATTACTTGTGATTTTATTACTGTTATTGTAATATATTGAATTATATGTATCTGAAATATCGAAAGAGGTTAATGACTGAATTGTATGTTTAATTGAATTTAGTATGTATGTTTTCAGTTTTTATCGAAAATCTACTATAAAAGATAAAAATGAACTTGTGCATTCTGGTATTCTCTTTATTGACCCCATATAACAATTTTTAGCATGAAAATATTTATATGTATTTGCATAAATCGAGGCCCAAAGTATTTAATTTGCATTAATATATTATTTGTCTAATTTTGCCAATAAACTGATATCACGTACTCTTTAATATTTGCAAATCACAACATTTAAGGGACTACCTATTCCCCATCTTAATTTGATAGGCCTCTTTGAAGAGCATTTCCACCCAATGCAAATGCAAGACTATATAAACTTATCCATATTTATCCTAATTAAATTCTACAAAATTAATGCCTAGATTGAATAATGTACATTTGATAACAATTTCATGTTACTGTATTATTGAAATAAAGTTTTATTTCAAAGAATGTTATTTTTCATGTTATATTATCTTGTTTGTATTATGCGCTCACCACAATCATTCATAATTTTGTAATGATATCAAAAGTATGTCGATAATCAAAGATTTACCCTCATCGGAAATATGAATGTGAAATTAAATCATAATTAAAAGCATGAAACTATAGAGAATGTGTAAAGAGAGAGGGGAAACGTTAATGCGAAAGAGAGGATAAAGAAACAACAAGAAAGGAAAATGTATTCTACATAATTAGGTTAAGTATAGCAGTGTTATTTTATTGTTGAACAGATGAAAATACATAAACATTTCGTAATACTCGGGGGATGGGGGGGGGGGCGTAGATACGGGGGCACGTCCCCCCCCCCCCCCCAAAAAAAAAAAAAAAAAAAACACTTCATGCCTATCGTGAAAAATACCCCCCCCCCCCACCCCCCCCCCTTCCTGCGTACAACTCTATTATGGACCTCGGATACGTCAACGAACGCGTACGTCAGTTCGTAAAACCAAAATATGCGGTGTTATCACGCAGTAAGCGGCGCGCAGGCATCTACGTCGGTTCGTAAATTAAATTCGTGCGCGCGATCCTGGATTTGTGGTTTTACGAAGGGACGCGCAAGTTTGGACGGTCTTATTTCATAGAAAAAGAGTTTTTTTCCCCCAAAAAAGTATCGTATTACATAGTTGAGGAACCTTACGTATCTGAAAAGAGAATTATCCGGTAATACTCAAAGAGTAAGAATGCCATATGTTGTCTTGAACATTTAAATGCGATTATCTCAAAATCAACTTTTTACGCGACGCGCGCACGTACGCGGGTTCGTAAAACCAGCGACGACATGTGTCATCAAATTTACTAATTTTCACCCTCAAACCACCCGTATCTACACCGGAATTCTTTCTCTCCTCGACCCGAAGCTCGGCTAGCTTCCCTTTTTTTCGCGCTCTTCGCGATCACGCTGGCTTTCACATTCTAGCTCTTCTACTCTCAACACTTCGGCGCAGCGCTCGGAAACGAACTTACTAAGCTCACTACCCGCAAGGCTCATCTCTCGACCTAGGGTTGAGAATTCTTTTATCTGATCTATACTGGCCATTATGAAATTGTATTTGAAATCACAACTGGGTATCAACAGGTACGGAACAATCCCCGTAGAATCTATTCAAGAAAATACTGACAACCATCAAGACTCTTGTTGTAGAGGTCTAGCTTAATTTCCAAGACAAGAACCCTTGAAAACTATCCACCAATTGTCTTAATTAACGTAGACATGCAATATCAAGACCTGTCTCAAAGTCGAAGTATGACAAAAAGTATCCCTGTGCATCCAACCTGGATTAATATAATAATATTTAAGATTTATATAGCTCTGGTATACAAGTACAGTTTCTAAGCGCTTTACAAAACAAGTGAAATAAAAAGTACGGTTAAACTAAATATGTAATAAGGATCAACAAGAAACGTGAAATGAACAATGCGCTTAATTTAGACGAATTACTTAACTAACAATGTATAACAATAACATGATAATGAAAAATTAACATGTAAATACAATAATTAAGTATCATTAATTAAACTGCAATAATTATGTACATTAGACAATAAATAGCTTACAAGAAGATAGGACATGTGGTTATAAATACGGTATGATGATGGACAATTACTTCGTGTTGAATAGATAGGTCTTAAGTCTACGTTTAAAAGTGTCAAGAGTTGGGGATTCACGGACAGAGACGGGGAGATTATTCCAGAGTTTAGGAGCACATACAGAGAAGGCACGATCTCCATAGCGGGTGTGAGTTCGAGGACCAGATGATAGTTGAAGATGAACAGATGATGATGAGCGGAGCCTGATGGAGGAGGTTTGCACCTTTGTTGAAATGAGTCCATTGATGTATGCTGGAGCAAGTCCATTACGGGCCTTGTAGGTGAGAAGCAGTACCTTGAATTGGATGCGCTGTGGAATGGGGAGCCAGTGAAGAGAACGAAGAATAGGTGTTATGTGTTCGTACTTTCTTGTGCGTGTGAGGAGACGGGCTGCAGTGTTCTGGATGTGTTGGAGTTTGGTCAGATGTGAGCTGGGTAGATTTATCAACAGGCTATTACAGTAATCAATGTGTGATGTCACAAATGCATTTATTAGGCGCCCAGTAGAACTTTGGTCTAGGTACTTTCGGAGTTTTCCGATCCGGTAAATTCCAAACGAAGCGGCTCTGCATGATTTCTGAACATGTTGCTTCATGGTAAGTTTGTCATCCACTGCGACTCCGAGATTAATAGACGATTTTGATGGATTGATTGTATTGCAGTCGACTTCGAAATCTGGCAGCTCACTGGCTTTTCGAAATGCTGACGTCACATGCATGAGTTCTGTCTTGGCACCATTAAGCATGAGGTTGTTATCACGAGCCCAGACTTTCACATCTGCGATGCACTGCTCCAGTCTCACCACCCCACTGGCGATTTCACTTTGCTTCAGTATCAGATACATTTGTGTGTCGTCGGCATACATCATGTGTTCAACACCCTGATGGGACCTTATGACGTCACTGAGGGGACCAGAGTAGAGTATAAAGTCTAACTCATGCTCACACACAGCTAAATCCAATACCATGTCCAATTCAGGTCATTGAAACCCAGTACAGCCCTCGCACACAAACCTGTACACACCGCTGCAATACACAATGCCTACGGACACTCATGCACATAACACGCATACCTGAAATCTGAATAGCAATCTACACACAATCCCGTACACCGACGCAAATCACCCACCGCAAATACTGTACGTCTATTGACGGTACACGCACTGCTGAAACCGTGGCGAGAGACACACCACACCGAACCGCAAAATCACTCTTTTTGCTAACATCCATCTCTCTTTTAAAACGAAACCTACACATACAGTGTAACGGATATTTTAACCAACAAAATGTGATTTAACATACGAGACCTAAAACTTTGGTGCTGGCAAGGTCGCCATAAATTGTTACGCAAAAACGACAATTAATCTTACTGGTTTTAGGTCTCGGCTCAAAGAGGCTTTATTCATGGTGTAACTGAATTCCAAACACCAAAGGAAAAACTCACCCTTGTCAGGGTAACATCATTCTTAATTCTCATGTGACAGTGTGGAAGAAAATCAGATGAAAAATGTTCCCTGAAAAGCATGGCTCTTCAAATTCCTTCACATTCGAAATCGGGACGGATTTTTATACCGCATGTTCGTGTAGTCCCATATACATATTCTTGTGTACAGTGCTTGTAACTTTGCCAAGACTGGGCAAAATATATTATCATTGTTATGATTCCAAAACCATGCAGTACACACCAATACTTAAATGCTAGATGGTCAACTTTTCTGATCGTTTCCACAACGTTTCTTTCACAATGCGATCGCATTACCAGAACTTAACTTTATCTTTAACACTAGACATGCCGATACGCTGAATGTTGTTTTACCCTAGCCTAATCATGAATATTTTAAGAATTGTTTTAGATATGCTGGTGATAAAATCTTGAATAGTTTACCTTCTGATTTTCAAAATGCTAAATCTATCGATGTTTTCAAACGTATGTACAAGGACAAAGTTCTTAAACATATGTGATACCAGACGCAAACGCAGGGGGGGGGGGGGGGGGGGGCAGGGGTTGGGGGTTGAACCCCCCCCCCCCTTTTTAAATTATATTTAAAAAAAAAATGCCCATGGCTGACCTTAAAAAGGTTACCTTACCCGACCCCCCCCCCCCCAACGAAGAAAAATGTCAAATTTCAAGACCAAAACAAATAATAAAAAAGTGTCCTTTTACCTTCCCCCCTCCCCCCCCCCCCTTGAAAAAATTCTGCGTACGCCACTGTGTGATACAATGCATATTCATATACTGCTCTTGACATGGCCAATTTGTCTCTCTCTGTCTCTCCCCCTCTTTCTTTCTTTCTCTCTTTCCTCCTTTACTTTCTATTGATTTCCTTATATCTTTTCTCCTCTTCTAATCTTTTTGGTGATATGGTAATGCCTTTTATTAAAGTAATTTGATGTTTTTCCGCTGTTAATTTCAATTATTACATTGTCGTTTTTGTTGTTTGTTTTGTGCTTTTTACTACTTTTAATGCGTATTTTTCTTATATGTTAGTTTTATACTATACAGTAGGAGGCTTGCGGGTGCACCATGTGTGAGAGAGAGAGAGGGTTGAGTAGTCCTGAAAAGAACTCTGACTCTGTTCGTTAGCCCTTAGACATGTGTGTATTAGAGGCTGCACTGTCGAAATATTTAGATATGTCATTATTGGTAAGATTTTGTAAAGAAAAAACTTATATATCTGAATTATATTTATGCTATACAGTAGGCCTGCGGGTGCACCATGTGAGAGAGAGGGAGAGAGGATTGAGGAGTCCTGAAAAGGACTCTGACTCGGTAATCTTTCTTGGGGTTGTCTAGTCCTGAAAAGGACTGTTTGTTATCTTTCTTAGCTTATAGTTTTAAGGAGAACTATAGCGCTTGGAGAGGATGAGTGGCTCGACTTTTCGAACAGGTTGACTATCCGTCGTCAGGAGTGGAGAATAGCTGGCGTGCGTAAGCTTAAGTAACCGGGGTGCGGACGTCGGGGAAAAAATAGGTGACCGTGTGGGCTTGAGTTATCGGGGGATGGACAAGGATGGTCGGCTTGTTCGTCTGACGGTCCGTCTTGGCTGGAGTGTCCGGGTTGAGGACTTAGGAGAGTTTCCAATCCATGAGTGGGGTGTGTTGTCGGCGAGACGCTGTGTGTGTCCCCGACCTAGGCGGTGTTGTAGTCTGTTGTCATCTGCTGTGCAATGTAGCTGTCAGGCTGGCGGCTGCTTTGAGGGTCCGGCTGGTGGCGGTGGTTGATGTACGGGTGTCTGTCGGGGTGGTGAGGGCGGTGAGACTACTGTATATCTACATCACCATGCAAGCCGACACTTACAAGCAGCATCTACTTGTATACTGTTCATATGGAAACGTTGTATCATCCGCTCAATCTGACTTGCGTGCATAGAACAAATAAGCATTTTTCCATGAAAAAGTGATGTTTTCTAAAATGTGCGTTTCTTTCCAGCAGTGGGGCGCCCGGGAGTCACTCGGGTAACATTTCATAAAGTATAATATTTCACTGTTTTAATTTACTGGATCATACCATTAAAGCCGCAAGGTAGAAAGATGCATTTTTCAACCGCGCCAAATGTAATTTACGTTCCGACATTCTGTTAAATGGGTTCGTGTTGTTAAGAATCCACTGCTTTCTGCTCCAACAAACGTCCACATGCGGAGTCGTTTATCAACTAAATTATTCAAATCTTTAGATGCTTCCTAGCTTCCCAGGTGTTTGTGTTGCTGTTAATTGAAGCATTTCATTTACCTGCTATCATTCTTTGTACTCCAATTGCCAGAACGCAAATTTCATTTTGGTTTTATAGTTTCATCGGAGTCGTTTATCAACTATATGTATTCAAATTTATGAATGCTTCCTCCCCAGGTGTTTGTGGTGTTTATGCATTTCATTCACCTGTTATTATTCTTTGTACTCCAATCGTTAGAATACAAAATGCATTTTGGTTTTATAGTTTCATGCAAAGGTAAGTCAATAAAAGAGTATGTTCTGCACAATAAAAACAATGTGTGTCCCTATTGTACAATGACATGTGTCCCATTCACCCATTTACTCATTCACAAAATGGAACTACCTGCCCGATGAAGCCAGTGGCCTGTGACCTCTGAGCACTCAACACCGTGTGAGAGTCAGTTTGTATCAACTTCTTTTATGAGACAAATACAAGCAAACGTTTCCATATGCTGACCTTTGTTTGTGTGCTTTGGTGATATTCATTATTTACATTTCCGTGTACTACATTTTTATCCTGTTCAGGACCATGAACTAAAACAGATTTTGTATCTACAATGTATATCTGGTTCTTGTTATCCTGAATAAATATATTTCAATAAAAATATAATATTTAAAAAAAAATGTCTCACACTATTGTCCCCAACAAAAGAACGGATCAGCCGAGGCAATCCCCTCACAAAGAGACGGGATGTCATGCAAAAAGTCCGCAAAGGAGAACGCCAAACTCTGGCGTTTTACTTCCCTATCAGCCGTGGTAGAGTTAGCCGAGAGACTCGTAAACTCTGCCTTAAACTATACAGCCACGGGATACCTCCCGGACAGCACGTGTTCTAAACAATGATGACGGACAACCCTCCTGAGGGTTGGCAAGAGAAGTATCCGAAAGACATATATCTAACAAAGCAAAGTCTCAGACCCCAGACCCACAAAGGCAGACAAACTCGGTCTAAATTCCTCAAGTAAAGGCAGAGTATCGGGGAAAGAACGCTGTTTACAGCAAAGACGGAACACTACCACCGGGTCTTGGCCTTGAAAAAGTATCAGGAAGATTTTTTTTTCTCTTATCCTCAAGCGAGGTTTTTATTTCCATAATAGTAATACATTTGTACATTCAACAATTCTTCCAGCTTAGTATTATTTTCTTTGCTAACACATTCATATCTTAAAAATAATCTTAGCAACGACTTGAATTAAAAAAAAAAAAAAGTATGTGGGTAGTAAACAGTAGTATAGTATTCAGTAACTCATGCTACCCCTTAATCGACAAACCTTCACGAATTACGAAGTCATCTGCCACTTTAAGAGATAATATACTTACAAATAACTTACTTTCATTTCATGATACTGGTCTATTGTATTGTGATGTATCCGATCACTTGCCTGTCTTTACCATTACTAAGTTAAATGTTGCTAATGTCAAATCATCGAAAGTAAACATAGGTCACAGAATTATAAATCAGAGAAATATTGAGGCCTTAATTAGGAATTTGCACGAAGCCAACTGGATGGATGTATATATGCTGCAGAAGATCCAAACGTTAGTTATGATATTTTTCAAAATAAATTTCGTGCATTGTATGATAAGGGGAGCCTTCCAAAGTTGCGACTTTGCCCGGACGCGTCGGGGCGCGATGGATAGAACGGTCGCGTCTCAAGAGACGCATTTAGGCGCGAAGGGGCGCGAAGGGGCGCGATAGTTACCCTCACCTGATTCTTGCATATGAAAAGAAACTGTCTATTGTTGGTATAAAACCGCTCTATTCTTCTTGCGCCCTTTCCAGCCCTACCAGGCGATGGAAGATTATCTCTCCCGTCATTGTTCTCGCTCGTGATGCGCGATACACAACGGTGCAGCTTAAACTTGCTATACAGAAAGTATTTGTCAGCCAAAGCCTGTCTTATCTTCCTGTTCTCCTTCTGATAAACATCCCATTGTTTGTAAAAACTTGATGTATTCTTCTCGCGTCGCGATCTATTCTTCCAGCGCCGTTTTGCGTCGTAACGGGCGGGGTATTATCTTTCCTCCGATCAGTGTGGAAGCTTTGCGATGTACATTGCTACAGCCCAGCCTGAACTTGTCTGGTAGGTGGAGCATTTTTGTTTTTTTTTGGGGGGGGGGGGGCAATCAACACACTCGTTCGTTCATCTTG